AGTCTGATGCCATAGAAATATTAGTTGCCAAAGTTTAAATGTGACCTCACTGTAGGTATCAACTCTATACCTGTTTGAAGTGCTAAATATGCCTTTTTATGGAAACTGTCCATAAAAAGTTGTCATTCAACTTTCATTATTTTAACACTTGCAAAATCAATGACAACTGAAGTCACCATTGGAACTCATACAAGGAGGGCATTTTCATTAGATATTTGGGGTTTTTAAATGTTATCTGAAACCAAAAATTAAAGGCTACCAAAATGAAAGACTAAAAAAAGCCTTCTAGCCTGCAAGACAGAAATAGGGGGCCTGACCAGGGTATAGTCGTCCCTCAGTATCCACAGGGGATTGGTTCCAGGACCCCTGCAGATACCAAAATCCACGGATACTCAAGTCCCTTAGTCAGCCCTCCATCTGTGGTTCTGCATCCTCGGATTCAATCAACAGAGGATTGTGAACATACTACACGATCCAAGAATGTGGAGGGCCAACTATATCAGGGTAATGCTGGCCTCACAGAATCAGTTAGGAAGTGTTCCCTCCTCTTGGATTTTTTGCAAAAGTTTGAGGAAGATTGGTATTAGTTCTTTAAATGTTTGGTAGAATTCACCAGTGAAGCCATCAGGTCGAGGCTTTGTTGGGAGACTTTAGATTACTGATTTGGTGGAGATGGTATATGGTGGGAGAAGGGCTTCCGGTGTGGAGCTCTGCCTGGAGGCAGCCCTGGGCAGGATGGACTGGGAGCATGCAGGATGTGAGCCAAGAGTGTGAGATGAGGACTCCTGCACCCGGGGTCAAAGTGGGAAGGGCAGTGGCTCCACAAGGGCTTGCCACGGAGGAGGTGGCCACAGAGCACCAGGTCACCCTCCTGCAGCAGCCCCACTCTAGCCCTTGAGAGAAAGTTGTGAGCTTAAAGCTCCGCTGCTCATGGAAGCGGGAGCGAATAAAAAAGTGGGGCACTCTTTGCAACCTTCAGTTTACTAGGCAGTCTCAGCACTTTTCAAGGCAGCCTCCATACCATGACCGTCTGTTACCATCCAGCCAACAAAGAGGTTAAAATATAAAGTTAGATCTCATTTAAACTGCCAAATGCTAAATAATGAATATCATTATTGACAATATTGATATTTAAAAACAAGATTTTTCAATTTATCCAATTCATTGTAGTAAGAATAGCATCAATGCTTTCTTCATCCAGCTTTATCCACATGGTAAAAATACTGAAAATTGAAATGTTATTTTCTAAAATCAGTGACTCTCTGTACTCTCTGGGTAAAATGTCAGTGTTTTCATTTATAATTCCAGTGCTAACTATGATTTTTGGGCAAGATTCTTTTACCTTAAAAGGCATTATACAACCTTAATACAGTAATGGAGCTAGGCAGTCATTATCAATGGCTGCTAATATCACACAATGAGAGACACCAGACGTGTGCCTCCAGATGGACTAGCCACGGCCACTGATGAAATGCTCTAGCAAAAACAAGAAAGGCAAACAAACAAAACAATGATACAGACTGACCGAGGCTGGAAATGAGAAAGGGGAATGCAGAAAGGGACGCCATGTGGATGTAATCAGCAAAATCCAGACTGAGGACACCCAGGACCAGTAACCTGGTTCTTCTCCAGATAAATTACAACGAGGAGAGGCAGGGGAGACCTGCAGATACAAAAAGTCTCGTCATGAGACTTAGTGACCAATTACAATGTATGGTGCTGACCTGGATCCAGATCCAAACTACACTGTCAAGAAATTTTTAATGAAACAATCAGAAATTTGAAGTGACCAGTTTATGCTATTCAGGAGTTATTGTCAATTGTGAAATACATAATAATTATATTGTGGCCATATTAAAAAAAAAAGGACATTTAAGGTATTTACAGATGAAATGATGTAAGTCTGGCATTAGCTTTAAATTGATTTGGGAGTGGTTGGGGGAAAGATGAAACGAGATTGGTAAATGAATTGATAATTTGATAATTGTTAAAGCTGGCAGTGGGGGGACTGGGTCATTAGATTATTCTGTCTTCTTTTATGTATGTTTGAATTTTTCTATAAGAAAAAGTTGAAAATTAAACAAAAATAGGAGGAGGCACTATAAACTGACAGGTCACAACTGGAACAATGTACCTTGTGTGCCTAGATCCTGTTTTGTGACATGCAGTTGTAAGTTTTTTTTCAGCAAAAGGATTTTTTATGCTTTTAGAAACTCCTTAAGATCATTTCCAAATAGTCCGAATATTGTTTTTAAATGTACTAGGGCCTTTAAAAAATTGCATTTGATAACCTTGCCCTTCCAAGCAATTTCTCCAGTTTTTGACATCTACCCCCCTGCTGACAAAACTGAAAGCCTCCATTTTCAACAGCCTCGTGTCATTCTTTTGAAAATAATTTTTGGAGTTAGACAGTCAGTGATTTGGAATGATAAAGGTGCAAACAATATATCATGCAGCATGCTTATCTAAGAAGAGAAGCCAGACAAAGACATTTTTGAATAAGATTTCAAAACCTTGCATTTCTTGGACCAAAACATGCCGTTGCAGCCTATGATGAGGCAGGCATGTTTGAACACACCTTCAGGCTCACACTAAAACACAGGGCCCATTTCATGAAATCCAGAGACTTTGCCCATGCAGCATTCACAGCTGAACAAAGGCCACCAGTAGTGGTGACGGTGGGGGCAGAGCTGTGGAGCCACACATTCCATGAGAAGCAGGGAGATGGCTTCCACATGCACTACAGAAAGGACCACACAATAACAGAGAGAGAATTAAAAAATAAAGAGTAAAAGTGGCGCGGGCTTATTGCACCAACTGTGCATGGACTACCAATAGTGCCCTGAGGATGTTTCTGGGAGGAAGGTGGTAGCAGCACAGGCTGGCAGGCTTTGGTGCCGCCTGGCCCTTCTGCAGCCTTGGGCACGAAGCTCAGCTGCACAGCCCGCAAAACTCCAACCCACTCTCTGACCCTCACCTCCTAGGCTCCTCCCCATTCTCTGAACTCTGGCAACTCTGGCCTTGCGGGGACTGCCAAAGCCACCTGCCAGCTCCTTCCCCACTCTCCTTCATCCCATTCATGTCCCTGCTTGCTTCCTTGCCCAGCTTGGATTCTAGGGTCTGGAACACCACAATCTCACCCTGACAAACACCCATAACTCCCTCCTCCTCTCCCAGCACCACCAGCCTGGTAACGCCCAACTATTTAATTACTTCTTGTCTGAACTGGAGCAGTTGTATTTTGCTGAAAAACAACCATATTGACTGGTTTCATTTTAAATCATGACCCCAAATTGTAAAATAGGCATTCGGCATTACCCTGTATTCCTACTACTCTTCTACAGCATGCTCCCATTCTCACTCTTCAAAACACCTATTTTACAGATTCTCTTTTTTCAGACTTGCTCACCACCACTTTGCCCATCCCCGCCTGCTGCTGATCTTACCTCACCACTGAGAAAATAGGCATCGTCAAACACGAACTCCCTAGTCTGCCTGCCCGGCTGCACCTATGCCCATGCCCTTGGCCTTCTCACTTGCTACAGTGGACCTGTGTCCCTGCTCCTGGCCAGGGCTGGCTCCTCCACATGTGCACATCTTGCCTTCTCAATCTTTTCCCTTTTCTCCATCTTTTCCTCCTCCTCTACTGTCACATAGAGAATACTGTAATACAATCTATACTGGAAAAAAAGATAAGGAGAATAAGAACCCCATCTCGACTCTCTGTCATCTTGGAATCATCGCCTTTGTTCTCTGTTCCTTGAGAATGTCAAGCATGCGCCCGCCTCAGGGGTTTTAAACTTTCTGCTCCTTCTGTCTTGGAAGCTCCTCCCCTTGACCCCTGCACAGTGGGCTCCTTGCCATTCAGGTCTCAGCTTAGATGTCACCTCCTCAGAGAAGCCATCTGCTGTAGATACTGTCATGTGCCACCCAGATCCCCTTCAGGACTGAGGGACTGATTCCGGGCTGCAGGGAGTGCTGCTGGCAGATGGTCCTCAGTTGTCAGTACCCTTCAGGAATCGCCCTGCCTAAAGATCTCGCCCCCTGGATGATAGCTTATAAAGACCCGGCTTCTTCGTCCCAAATCCAGACAGTTCCAAAGGCTGTCTCAGCTATGGAGCTCTTGATGGGAGTGGAGGAGGCACCACAGTCCAGCTTCTCCCTCTTCCCAGTGCTGCTCCCTTCCTTTCACTTCCATAGGTGTGAATCCCAGGTGCTCCCTAATAAGCACCCTGCATGCTAATCTCAGACTCTCTTTCCCAGCAAACACAACCTGTGCCAGCCATTTAGGTTGTCCACCCCTCTATCACCTCACCTTATCTTAATTCTCTGCATAGTTCCCATCATCGATATTTTTGTTTATTTTTTATTGTCTGCTTCCTATTACTAGAACATAAGTTCCAACAGAGCCAGGAACTGGTCTTGTTCATCTTTATATCTCTAGAGCCTACACCAGGGCCTGGCACTCAGCAGACACAGCTGGTGAAGGAACGAATGGAGTGACTCTCAGAGCCTGCGTCCTCTACTGTCTTTCTTACAGGGTGGTGAGGAGTAATGATAACGTACATAATGTCGGCATAGCACCCGGTACAAAACTTTCTGAAGATGTAAAGATTAAATTACCACTTTTCACCTTAAGCCTTCCTTCAGAAAACAGTATGAAAATTGAAGAAAATGCAGGAAAAGGTGATTAAATGACTAAAGGATGCAGCCATGACTAAAGGCAAAGAGAGATTAAGACTTGATACAATCTGGCAAACTATGAGATTTACGTGTGTAAATTCTCATTTACAGATAAAATAAAAACAAAAGGAGGACTGAAGTTAAGGAAATTGAAAGGCTGTACGACAGAGAAGGGAATCTAGAGGAGCCAGGAGAAAGAGCTGCCCCCGCCCAAGGGACACCACCTTTCCTACTGCAGCGGGAATAACAACCCACACCTCCAGATATCGCCGGTCAGGATTTGGGTACACAGGACATTATGCTGCAGCTCTACTCACAGGAGATGTGGTTTCGGGTTTAGACACTGGTGCTTTAAAGGTGGAAGTATTTTTAGAAACATCTACGTTCTTATCTGCAGCCGCTCCCGTGGACAAACATTCCAAGTAATCAGGTGGGGGGATGACAACACTGCTTTTCTCAGATAAGTCCACCGTGCTGACGCTTCTTACTGGTGCTGGGCTAACAACCAAAAATCAGAGAATACAAGTTAGACAAGATCCTGCCATCTGAATCCCAAACATCCTCAAGATCCTATGGCCAGAACCACAATAGATTAATAATCAAAAAGGATGAGGGAGAAGATTACAGCACACACACACTTTATATATATAAAACACTAATGTTTTTACTGGTTTATAACTGTACACTCAAAAGAAATTCTTTAAAAGACATGACAAAAGAAAAGGAGAGGAAAACTAGCTTAAGTAGGGGCTGGCTCTTGATTAAGATCAATAAGAAAATGAGGACTACAGCAAAAGCCTTGGCAAAAGCATTGAGCACTTCATATTAAAAAAAACCCAAAAAACCTCAGAATTTTAACATCCTAAAAATGGTACTTAATTTTATTTCTTGGCCCAGTGGCAGTTTAGCTATTCTGCTAGGGATGAAGATACACAGATGACACTGAGCAAGTATAATGGAAGGAGTTGGGGGGCATCAAGTGTGGTTCAAAGGTCTGCCGGGACAGCTGGATGGGTCAGGAGGGGTTCTTTGAGATGGGAAACACTGAGCATGAGGTGGTTCAGGGTAAAGATGATGAAGTCAGTTTGGGTATGTCATTCTGAGGACCTATGGGATAGCCAACCAGAAGTGCCTAAAACACATATAAATATTTACGTCTGGGCCCGGGAAAGATCTTCCTGAATTCTAGTCTTGGCTCCACCACTTATAGCTGTGTGTCCTCGAGCAAGTTATTAAACCTTTTTGTGCCTCAGTTTCCTCAATTTCAAAGTGGGGACCTACCTCATAAGGTTGTTGTGAGAATTAAATGAGCTAATCAATGTAAGGCACTTTGGACAGTTTGTAAGTGATGATGATGATGATGATGATGATCATCATCATCATCATCTAGATCGGAACACAGATTTTGGGGTTGTCAGTATGGAGGTACTAACTGAAGCCCAACAGTGTAATTCAAGCCATGGGAGTAGACAAGATGGCCCAGGAAGTACAGAAAAGGAAAAAGGACTGAGGACAGATCCTGAGGAACTCCTATGTTTAAGCAGTGGGCAGAAGAGAGGCCTGAAAGGGATGGCTGGTGAGGTGCAAGGAAAATAAACAGAGTGCAAGGTCAAGAAACCAAGGCAGGAGAACATTTCAGAAAATGTATTCACCAATGTTAAACGCTGCTAAGTGGGTGGTGGGGGATGGTGAGAGTGGTTCCAGAGGGCTGACAGACCAGGGCAAAAAGCAGGGTCTAGGGGTGTCTCTTCACGGCAGACAGTCAGTAAAGCCCATAGACAAGAGAAATCACAAAAGAAACAACCATGGAGTAGCAATTTCCCTTTCTTACTATTCCACATGATCTGAGGTTTCCACATATCCAGATGTAATTTTGATACACCTGAAAACATTAGGCCCAAAGGCAAGTTTTCTGTCACGGGGAAATCTGAGCCACAGTCAAGTCCTACCTTGGCGTAGGCACATTCACTGTCTCCTTTGCATTTTCTTCCAGCAACTTTGTATATGATGATGGGAACCAACCTCTCCTACAGGTGAAGAATGAGGAAAAAAGACCTGTTTCTGGTATCAGCAGTAGACAAGTGAACAATAAACTAAGGAGTGACTCAATGACAACTCAGAGGCAGACTATCCATTTCACCATATTACACAACACATATTTTATTTACAGCATTAATTTGATTTGGATTCCCCTTTTGTCTTTTTTTCCATATTGGTTTAATTTAATAGCTGAATAATCTAACACAGAAAACTGATTTAACCTACTTATAGTAAGGCTTGTACACATACTCATGGTTGAAATGGTGATGCTGGCATTTAAACTATTTACGTGCTAAATCTTTTTTTTTTTTTTTTTGTGAGGAAGATCAGCCCTGAACTAACATCCGTGCTAATCCTCCTCTTTTTGCTGAGGAAGACCGGCCCTGAGCTAACATCTATCACCAATCCTCCTCATTTTTCTCCCCAAAGCCCCAGTAGATAGTTGTACGTCGTAGTTGCACATCCTTCTAGTTGCTGTATGTGGGACGCGGCCTCAGCATGGCCGGAGAAGCGGTGCGTCAGTGCGCGCCCGGGATCCAAACCCAGGCCGCCAGTAGCAGAGCGCGTGCACTTAACCGCTAAGCCACGGGGCCGGCCCTACGTGCTAAATCTTAAAGTATATCCTATATGCACAATATCCTTGAGAAATCCGAAATCACATTTAAAAAAAAGAAAAAAAGACTATTTACACCTACTTTCAGAGGTGACTTCATCTGATCTAATAATCTATTCATGCATTAAATTTATCTATATATGCACATACATACAGAAAATAGCCTGGAACAGAATAACTCCAGTTAGCTAAACTAGAACTATAATTAAATTATGAACTTTGGCTGAAATGCTAATATGTCCACAAAGACAACTTGCTGCTAAAGGGAGAGACAGCAGCTCTTTTCAGCGCTGGGCCGTTACAACTCCTATATGAACGGCATCCACTCTGGGACTTACACTTTGGTGTTGTCATGTTCCCCATAAAGCCAGCCGTCTTTCTCCTCAGAGATGAGCAGTGTGATGACATCTCCTTGTGCGAAGCTAAGTAAGGTCTTGTTAGTGCCAGCGGTATGTGGAAAAATAGTTTTTACTTTCTGCTTTTTCATCATGTTCAGTCCAGTTGCAACAGAAACTGATCGTGGTAAACTGGGATCATCTGAAGAATCTGTTAAAAATGAACGTAGCAGTGATGGCTTTTCAAAGAACGATAATCAGGCAAGTTCAAATGAGCAAACCCCAGAAAACCACCCATTCCCATCTTGCCAGCACACTCATTCTACTGAAACTCCAATCATGTTATATTTCCACACCTTTATCTTTGCCTAGATGGACAGAGACTGCATGAAACAGAGGCAGACCCATGGCCCAAGGTCTCTCAGGGGAGGATCCCTGTGGCTAAAGGCCCCCTTCTAGACCGAGGATAAAGCAGTGTACGCCAAGCTTCACCTGTGCTCCCGCACTCTGATTCAATCAGGACAGCTCTCTCAGAGAGGCAAACTGCGCCACCACCAAGTGGTCTGATGCCTTTCCTTTCCCTGTTCTCCCAATATGAATCACAAAGGCAGTGTGAGGCATTAACTCAAACCCAACTGCCCACGACCTGGGCCTCAAAGAACAGGAGAGAACTGGAAAGGTGACATTCTTGCCACCCTGGCTGCTCAACCTTTCATCCATGAACATGGTAAGGATATGGTGAGGATGAGTGCGTTTATTGAGCCCTCCCTGAGGGCCAGTCCATGCTCTCCATGCTTCACAGCTTCTGAGGAGGGCGCTGTTATCATCCACAGTGACTTGCCTGGAATCACAGCTAGCACGTGGCAGAACCAGGAACCAGATGCAGGCGTCCTGGCTTCACAGCCTGTATTGCACTATGAGAAGCACCTCGCTGCGCATTTTATGTCTCAATTCAAATGCAGGCTATTTATCACTCCAAAAAAAAAAACTGGAATGAAGACTTTTTTTTCTTTTTAGATATTTTTTTCCACTCAAATTTTGCTAGCTTAGTATTTATTTTAAAATAATGCAAGATCTCTTTCTGCTTTATTCTCGCAAATTCTGACTAATTTATGAACTATAAACTTTGCTATCTCCTTAACACTCTACTCTCTAATTACCTCAGTAGTATTGAATCCACCAGCAATTTTCATTTAGCTTTTACCAACAAAAATCAAAGAATCATCTGAATGACTGGGTTGCACACAGCAGTATATATTTTAACTTTATATTATATAAAACGTATAGTCCTTCCTTCAAAGGCAAATGACTACAGCCTATTATCTTCCCAATTGCCATTCTGCAAGTCTCATCTCTTCCCCAACAGCTGCAAATGCTATGGACTCTCTCCAGCACACAGCTCGATTGCCATGACTTTCATACCGAAGGGGCCTGTGAGACACCCCACACAGAGACAGGGGTCAGGCACCACAGTATTCTCGAGAGTCCTGGGTGCCAAAGACTCTGAGTAGGCAGAGTGGGGCCTAACCAAAACCTCCTGAAATGTCTGCAAACAATAACCGGTCCCAATGTATTGAAATAAAATCAATAGAGTTAAGAAATTCAAGCAGTTAGAACTTAAGTCTCCAGAAAGCAAGAAGAGCTCTGTTGGCGATGATGAGAAACACTGACTATAATTCAAACTAAGCCTACTGGTAGGATTAATAACCACAATTTTACCATGTGAACTTTTAGTTTGTTTTATTGAAAAAAATTTTATTACAATTGCCACCAAATATGGAACACAGTGTGAGGATCTGTACAGTATATCCCATTTATTTTTATTTTTTTTGTGAGGAAGATCAGCCCTGTGCTAACATCTGCCAATCCTCCTCTTTTTTTTTTTTTCCCCTGAGGAAGACTGGCCCTGGGCTAACATCCGTGCCCACCTTCCTCCACTTTATATGGGACGCTGCCACAGCATGGCTTGCCAAGCAGTGCGTTGGTGTGCGCCCGGGATCCGAACTGGCAAACCCTGGGCCACCGCAGCGGAGCGCGTGCACTTAACCGCTTGTGCCACCAGGCCGGCCCCTCCATTTATTTTCAAATATAACACCTTTCAATAGTACGTTTGCTCTATGTAGACATTAATCAGTATATAGAATTAGTATGTATCAAAGAAATGTGTCACTTATAAAATGTCTTATGGTCTTATAATAAACCCAGACCCTTATTTGCTCTGAAGTGTATGTTCCTCCAAGCCAGTGTTGACGTGTGCTACCACATTTGTTTACTTCTACCTCATGATACATTTATCCAAAATATTTAGTTAAAAAATTTAAAAAGGTATTTTAAAAGAAATCAAACTAAATATCTTACCTGTTGAATTATTTATCCTTTCTGAATTCTGTGCAACTGTTGCTGGGTTATTAAACATATCAATCAAAGGACTGGTATATGCTTTGCCTGAAGGAGCTGGTGGGGGCATCTTTGGCGAATATTTAGAAAGGGTATCATAATCTTTCCCAACCTGTGAAAAATTCTTTATTAGTTTAATATTAGTATAACACAGCAAAGGAATTATAGATTCCTAGGCTTATAAATTCCACTTTCTTCCCAAAGTTCTCTTAGTTGTAGGGCAATGCCCCATTCTGAATTATTTCAAGAATATTGCATTCTTTTTTTCATATTTGTCTTCATTTTTTTTAAAGCAGTTACTCCCCCTTTTCCCCCAACCCCTGGCAACCACTGATCTCCTTTCTGTCTCTGTAGATTTCAGGCTCCCTCTTAAGTGCTACTTGGCTATAGGATTCTACCTTTAAAAAATTTTTTCCACAGAATTTTGAGTGCATTGCTCCATTAATTTCTAACATCTCGTTTTGCTAACAAGAAATCTGGTATCAACAGAATTCTTTTTTCTTTGTAAGTAATCTACTTTTTCCCTCCCTGGAGGTTTTCAGAATTTCTCTTTATCCCTATGGTTCTGCAGTCTGTCGAGGTTTTGGTCTTATCCATTCATCCAGGATCACACTGGCTGCCGTGTTCAAGACCAGGCGGAAGATGACTGCAGTAATCCCTGCAGGGCCCACAGTCAGGGCAGTGGAGGGGTGAGAAGTGGCTGGACTTGGGACATGCTTTGAAGGTGGAAACAATAGCTATGCCCATGGACTGACTGTGGCACGAGAGAGAAAGAGAGGAGTTAATGTTTTGCGTCTGAGCTACGGGAAGGATAAAGTTGCCATTTACTGGATGGGGAAGACTATGAGAAGCAGGTTTAGAGTGAAAAAATCAGTTATTTGGTTTTGGACAAGTTAAATTTGAGATCCCCATTAAACATCGGGGTGGCGATGTTGAGTAGGCAGCTGGATATATCTCTCATGTCTCAAACTGTCTAACATTATGTTTATCTTCTTTCTTTTTTTAAAAAATCCTCTGTTTTTGCACTGTTTTGGGAGAGTTCTTTGGCTCAATTTTCCAAGCAGTTCCATTCTGCTAATGAGCTCATCTATTGTTCTTGTATTGTGGATTTTTTGTTTTGTTTTGAGGGTGGAGGGGGAAATGAAAAACAAAAACTTGTATTTTAGAAAAATTTCAAACAGGTACAAAAGTAGAAAGAACAGCACAATAAAATCTCCATGTACCCAACACCTAGCTTCAACAATAATCAATTCACGACCTATCTTGTTTCAGGTATGCTCCATCCATTTTCCCCCATGCCTGGATTATTCTGAAGCAAATCCCAGACATATCATTTTAACTATAAATAATAATCCAATTTTAAATTTCCAAGATCTCTAGTTGATTCTTCTCTGTGGATGTAATATCCTTTCATCTCTTTCTAAGGATTTCTTCTCTGCTCTATTGGCTCTGTCGCCTTCCAACACTGGTCATTCCAGTTTTTTACTTAAGCGTGTCTTTTTATGATATTGGTTTTCCTCACCTGTTTAGTGATTGCTGGTTGTCTGTCCATCTTTGTATTGTATGGCAGTCCCTATCCTTTTCTACTGTACACAATAGTCTGTATTTTGCCTGTTCTCATTGTCACAGACTAAGATGGTGATGTGCAGGAGAGGCAAGACACCCTTCCAGGCGTGTGCCCTCCCTCTTCAGTCCAAACGTGCTGTTTTGGCTAGCAGACAAAAGCCCCTGCTGCCCGTTGTTCAGCACGAGTGGAACAAGGGGAAGGGACTGACCAGCCTAGATGGTCTGAATCAGTCCCCCAACCAGCTACGTATGGAAATGTCCCAGGTTCTCTCCCACTTCTTGTATCCAGTGGCTCTGAGCTTGCTGCTCCACCCTCTGCAGAAATCTTGCCCTGCACGTCCTTGGGGCTGAGGTTTACTTCTATTTTGATTCTCCATAGACTGATCTTTCAGAGACTCTTTCAGTGTTTCTGGTCCATTGACAGCACCTTCTCTTATTTTCCCCCAGTATTATGGATCTCTTCTGTAGGTTGTTGGCTGGTCTTTAATATCTTGGCTGTCATTTCAGAGGGTTTTAGATGGAGAGGTAGGGTGGACTCATGTGTTCAGACTACCTGCTGGATCCAAGTCTCCACATGTGTTTGTGAAAATAAAGCCCAGGTTCAAAGAACAGCAAACTACAATGCTCGAATTCATTACCTTGAATACTCTGGTGACTGTTTTTTTCTGAAGTGCTTTATATTGTGATGAATGGTATCAGAGTTTTGTTAATGTATTTTCTAAGACACCTATACTTCCTTCACTGGGAATAAATGTATAAAGTTGGAATCATTAAAATTAAAACAGTAACAATAAAATTTCCAAAACAAAGATAAAAGGCTAAACATAGTATAAAACATTTGCACAGCTAATCCTGAATCAGAAGGTAAGGGATGCAAGTGAGAAGAGGTAGGCCCTAGAAGTAATAGAGGAGGACCTGAGATTTCCACTGACAAAGGCGGCCTTGGTCCTTTGTGCAAATTTGGCCCAAATCATAGTAGTAAATCCACAACTGAAATGTCGAAGAGATACCCAGTTCCTACCACGTTGCGTCTCTCGATCATTGGTGAAGGCTGAGGCGTTCCGGATATTGGGGTAGAGATTGGGGTCTTTATTTCTTCTATCATATTCATGATTTTCTCTGGTACTTTGGTGGCATCACCACAGGTTTCCTGCCACCTAGGCAGTTTGGAATTAAGCAATTCTGCAGACTATAAATCCAAAAGAAACAGAACTGAAGACAAACGTGTATTGTTCAAAGAGCTAACAAAAATTACATCAAATAGTATCACTGATAGCATATTACTGGCTAACCACCAGAAGTGTGGGAGCTTTACATTAAATTCAGCAAGTAGTTTAAAAGCGTCTGGTTTTTTTTTTGGTGAGGAAGATTAGCCCTGAGCTGACATCTGTTGCCAATCTTCTTCTTTCTGCTGAGGAAGATTGGCCCTGGGCTACCATCTGTGCCCATCTTCCTCTACTTTATACGTGGGAAGCCTGCCACAGCATGGCTTGATTAGCAGTGCATAGATCCATGCCTGGGATCCAAACCTGCGAACCCCGGGCTGCGGAAGTGGAGCGCACGAGCTTAACCACTACATCACCAGGCCAGCACCCAAAGCATCTGCTTTTTGAGCATCTGCTGTGTGTTATTTGCTGAGAAGGATTTAGGCTCTTGTTCTTCAGGAATTTACCCTCTCCTTCAATGTGACTACAGAGTTTAAGACTAATACAAGGATTGTAAATGATTAAAGCATAAGTTCAAAAACTAAAAGGGAAGAGTTGAGCAACCTGGTTTAATCCCCATTGTTTTCCCAGTGGCCTCAGAAATGCCAATCACTGCTTTCTTCCTCCCACTCTTTCTACAAGAAGCACCTCCAACACAGGTACTAGGACTCTTTGACCCCAGGGGAACTGAATTTACACGTTAGAGGAGTGAATCAGATCTGTCCTGAGAAGTTCATCTATGAGACAGAGGGACTGGAGGCAGAGAATGGTGGGCTCTTCGGAGTCAGGGACGGTGCAGAGGGGACACCGTGGCCATGGGCTGACTGGGGCTCTGGAGCAAGCAGACTATGGGGCTTTGCAGAGAAGCTGGACTGCAGAGCAGAGAGAAACAGAATGACAGAGATGAGACCCCACAGCCCCAGAGGCAGAGGCATCTGTCCCTGGCTCCCACAAGCCTGGCTCTGCTTCTTACTACTGGACTCCTCCCTGAAGCCTTTCAGTGAACCCCTTTTTCCAGAGCAGGAATCTGGTTGGAAAAGGGAAGTAGTGGACCTTTCTTGAAGCTATTTTCATAGTAACCACCCCCCCTTTTTTTTTTTTTTTTTACCTAGACTCTATGTTCATCAGGACTGGGCTAAGGGTGTTGTAAATCCCAAGGAAGGGGAAAGCCCTTCCCCCAAACCACCAGTGTCCCCTGCCTGTAACCCTGACACACCAATTGCCTGGGCATGTTTCATCCAAGGAGCCACTGAAAGGACTGGGATGCTTTAGCTGGGATAAGGGAAGGCACAAAAGTGGTCTTCAGAGAGTTGAAGAGACTTTTGGTATAGAAAGAAGTAGATTTGGTTTATGCTAAAAAGCATAACTGGGACCCAAGGTTAAGTGTAAGAAAGACTCTGCCAACAACTAGAGCTCTCTGGAAATAGGTCAGGTTGCCTCATGATACAGCAAGTACCTCATTGCTGGCAGGGTGTCACCATAGGAAGAGAGCTTCAAGGTCACTTCTGTCTCTCTCCAGCCTATGACTCTGCCCCAGCAGGATGCCCTCACCATGAAAATGGACACTGCTGAAACTAGTAGAGATACACTGTTGACAAAAGTGACCATCTAATACAGCAATTCTTTCCTTTCTTATAACAACTGTAGATCTTAGGTAATAGACTTGGTAGCTGAATATTCCTTAAAGTTGCAAACCTTTATAGAACATGTAACATATGACATATGCATACATACAAGGCCAAGTTTTTTTTTTCCCTGAAAAAAAGAGGAAGTTGCCTTATATTTACACTCTTACAAAGCTTCTATCATAGAGCACTCTCTAAATTCCTTTATTATGAACAACAATGAATATTTGACTTCAATTAGTGCTAGTTTTGGATGCTTACATAGGCCCAACAGAATTCATAATTAAAAAAAAAAGAGGAAAGGAAATTTAACACATGTTTTGTAATGATTCCTGGAGGTATAACCTCACAACTGCATGTGCTGGAAGGAAGGCAGTAAAGTCAATCATTCAGTTGATGAGATCATGAAGAAACACCTTGAAGAGGAAGGAAAAGGTAACCACAACCAAGTGTCCTGATGCTGTGAATGGGGTCTGTGGCCAGGGATAGAATTTCCAGTGACATCACTATACATGGACCCCCACGGTGAATATCTCAAACCACCCAGGTAGGGTGGATCCAGGGCCCACTGGGACTCACCCCCTGTCTCTGGTGAAGATACTGATGCTGAGGATGCATCAGAAAGAGTCTGAGAAAAGCTGATTTATAGGTGAGAGAAGGAAATAAGTGCCATTTCTCAATTATTAAGAATTAGTTTATGAAAGATTTTAAATATGGATGTATGACTAAATTAATATTACAAGCAGACATTTGACCATTTCATCTAAATTTCTAAAAGTTTACATATTCAAATTGGCCAAAAACTATCTTTGGAATCTTCTCATTGGCAAAATAAGCCCATTGCTTTATATTGGGGCACGTATGGAAGGTAAAGCAGTTCAAGAGCATTTAAATATGAAATAAAATTATTAATACATGCAACACAATTTGCCGTCACACCTACCTGTAAATGATAATGATGTATGTGATTTGCAAAGCTACAGTGTTTGTCAACCAGAAAGCAGAAGCGCCTTTTCTCTTCAAGTAGAGCTTCTTTGCAACCATCCGCAATAAATTTTTGGATTTCATTTTGGCGAGAAGTAACAGTTTCTACATACTAGGAAAATAAATAATAATTATACAATCAAATAGCTACACAGCCTGACATTTATCTTCTGCCATCTTTATACTTGGTTTATTTTGATAATGGAGTAAATACTAAATGCAGATAAACATTAGACAACATAACAAAGTTGTAACCTGACCGGAGCAGATATCATCATTCTCATTAAGATCCCTGACTCATGTGTAGAGAAGCTGCCAAAAGCCTTACATTCCACTGGGCAATTTGCACAAAATATTACTTTGTACTCCAGGGATATGATTGTGTTCTATTGGAAAATCAAGGGCTTTGGAAACAGAAAGTTCAAGTTCAAACCCCAGTTCTAAGTGTCAACCATGTGACTTAACCTAAGCCTCATTTTCCCCATCTGTAAAATGGGGATAGTAATGCTAATCATGGAGACTCCCTTACCCTCCCTGAGTCTGGAGAAAATGCCAATCTTTTTAGGAGGCCGCAGACTAATTATTCTTAACTCTGGAAAACTCTGCAGCCTTCAGCTCAGACTAAGTCAAAATGCTTATTTTTAACTTCAACAGCAGCACAACAGTGAGTGGATAAAGTGGTTGACTGAGGTAAATAAGCTTCCCCCGTAAACTGTACAAATCATCAACAACAAAATAAAATAGTGCTGAAAAGTTCACCTCAATTTCTTTGTGTTCATATTTGAGTGCATTTCGTCCTCCTTGACTTTTCCTTCTGATCTTCTTCAATTCAGCTTGAGATTTCTCCAAAGAATCTAATTTATTCCTGTGTTCTGTTTGGTATCTTTTGAGAGTTGCCTGTAAGTTAAATGTCGTGCTTATTTTGCTGCAGCCCAGTGCAAACTGTCAGGCGGTTATTTTGCTCACATGTCCACTGGGCATGGCTGGCTGAGGCCATGGCTCTGCACACCCCCACACCTCATACTGCCCCCTCCCTTCAACTTGAACATTCGTGGCTTTGTCTGTCCTAAAGTTTCCTGTTTATATGAGGGGCCCTTGACCAGAAGGGCAGCTCTCTAAGGGCAGCAATGTCTTCTTTCTCTCCCAAAGGTTTTTGGACACTGGGCGGTCAGTAAGTGCTTTGGTGAATAAATAAATAGTATTAAATCACATGTTCCTGACTCTTTTACGACTTATGATTTCAAGAAACAGAACGTGGGGCCCCATGGTGTAGCGGTTAAGTGCGTCCATTCCGCTGCTGGCGGCCTGGGTTTGGATCCCGGCCGTGCTCGGACGCACCGCTTGTCAGGCCATGCTGTGGTGGCGTCCCAGATAAAGTGGAGGAAGATGGGCACGGATGTTAGCTCAGGGCCGACCTTCCTCACGAAAAAGAAAAAAGAAAAAAGAAACAAAATGAACAAGTGCAATCACTTCTGGTTATTTTGGGTGCCGTGTAGCAGAGTGTTTAAGAACACAGGGTCTGTGGCCGGCCCCGTGGCTTAGCGGTTAAGTGCTCGTGCTCCGCTACTAGTGGCCTGGGTTCGGATCCCGGGTGCGCACTGACCCACCTCTTGTCCGGCAATGCTGAGGCGGCGTCCCACATACAGCAAGTAGAAGGATGTGCAACTATGACATACAACTATCTACTGGGGCTTTGGGGGTAAAAAAAGGAGGAGGATTGGCAATAGATGCTAGCTCAGAGCCGGTCTTGCCCAGCAAAAAGAGGAGGATTGGCATGGATGTTAGCTCAGGGCTGATCTTCCTCACAAAAAAAAAGAAAAAAAAGAACATAGGATCTGCAGCCTAACAGACCTGGGGTTAGAAGTTTGGCTTTATCCTTCATTTCCTGAATGATCTCAGCAATTACTTAATTTCTCTAAAATCCATGTTTTCCTTCTAATCTGTACAGTGAAGATAGTAAAAGCACCTACGTTATGGAGTTTCTGTAGGGATAAAAATCAGATAACGTATGGAAAGTGCTTGGCATTACATGCACCTCAGCACTCGTAGGTGGTCCTTGGCCTTCCTCTAGGGTACACAGAACATGTGCACGCATGGGCAGCAGGATGATTTGGGGGTAATCCATACTGCTTACAGCCACAAGGGGGTCTTGGGGAGAGGAAAGGGGACTTTGCGTGGCAACAAAAGCAACTCCTCTACAGCAGAAAGGGGAGATGGAGGGAGCCCTATGTACTGGGGCTGGAGGGCCACGTGGAAGGAGAAACTGCTAGAATTGACAATAGCGGGTGACAGGTAAGAGACACCCCGCAGGGGCAGTCTCTGACAATCGGCCCTGGGACTCCCAGGGGGCCCAGAGGGTGTTCTCCCATGGACATCATATATCCTGCGGAGCTGGTTTTCGAAAGCAACAGCTGCATTAATACAGACACAGGTGTCATCCACATATGTGTGTTCTTTGAAAACAATGCTTTCCAGAAGCAGTATGATTCCTTGCAATATCTCTTCTATGCTTTTTAATAAAGATCCCAAGTGTTAGTGAAAACGTGTCCACTCAGCCCAAGGGGACCTTGTCCGATTTATGCGTCTGTGTATATACTCAACGCCAAGCTCCCTCTATATTTGTGGCTGCTGAGTAAACAGTGGGGGAAAGTTCTCCTCGGGCTCAGAGGTCAGGCAAGTGCAGCCCCCCAGAAAGCCGGGCCCCTGTGTCCTCTGCCTGTCTCCATCCATGGAGGAGGAGCAAAACCATGTACTCACATTCATGTATTTTACATCAAGTTCTGTCTTTTTCTCCAGTTCATATATAATCTCTTTATGGAATTTTTTGAACTGTTAACAAAAGGAAATAAAAAATTCATACCAGATTCGAGACTTTAAGCAAAATAAATTTTAAAAATAAATACATTTTGTAAATATAAAAACAGTTCACCTACATTTTCATCAAGACTCTCATTGAGTTTCTTGTGGGTACTTGAAATCTCTATGAGAACACGGCCTGTGAACAAAACCAGATATGTTAGGGGGAAAAGGCATTGCGTAGTTTTTGTAAAGATATTAGGGAAAGTAAAATAGTAGAGTGAAGTACATCCATCGCTGCCCTCCAGAGCCTGGGAGCATCGGGCGTCACCATGGTGGGGGTGGCTTCCAGAGGGACACAGCTGATAGCAAACTTACTTCATCAATAGAATGCCAACTTTGTCTTCACATTCACATTGTTCTTTCTATATTTAGTCATTCCCTAAGCCGAATCCTATTTACCTGGTTTAATTTTGAGATTCTCTTACAAAAGATTACCTTGGTCATTACAGTAACTAACTATAGGAACAAATGACTTATTTTTAGCTAATCTCCAGGTTAATCTGATGATCTGTCAGACATAAAAGATAAAGGTTATTTTATTTTTCTCATACGAGTTCTTATATCGTTCTGGAAGATATTAACACCATGGGAAACTGCAGCAGGAACAGTGCTCTGTCTTGCGTCTCCTGGGACTACACCAATTCTCTGAAACAAGTACAGTCACACGACAGAAGAGAATGCTCCAGGTCAAAAGAGACTTACTCCAAAAAGCAGCAACAAGACCACTTGATTTGCAAAGCACATCTCTGGCAGTTCATGGCAGTGAGCTGCATCTCTGCTACTAAACTCTGATAAAGGCGCCAAGAGCCTCTCTCTGCAACCAAATGGGTCTATACCTAAGAACTGGGAGAGAGACAGAATCATTTGGAACAACCAATAAACCACACCAAACAACAACAAAAGGTGCTGGGTGGATTATCCTACAGTTCAGATAAAAAGGAATTCTTTGGGCAAACTGAAAGGCTGTAGCTGAGGGAGAGTTAAAATTAAGACTGTGGTAGAACATGGGGAAAGAGAAAAAGAATACAGACAAGAACCCGACCTCAGCTATCACCTCTGTATGAATGATTCTACTATGCCCTACTCTCAAAACATTTTAAGACATCTGACTCTCAAACTGCCAGCCTAGTCTTTCCCCTCATCTTCAGACTCAGAAACTCAACCCCTTCCTGAACACATCTACCTGGATGTCCCATTAGGTACCTCATATTCAACATGTCTATAAGTGAACTCACCCCGTATTTTCTAATCCCAGCTCTTGGCTGCCAGCCAGCCAGTCATGAGGGATCAACACCTCCCTACATGTCATACCCAATGACAAAGACTCATTCCTTTGTGCATGTGCTGCCATCACGTGGGCCCCCTCTAGGATGGAACCAAGCCCCTTACTTATCCTGCTTCCTTGGGCAACAAATATGCCAGCCCTTCCCTGCCCAGGAGAGAAGGGATGTGGGAATGACACGTGAAGTCTATGTTCACCCAATAATCTCTTCCGATAGAGGTGGGGGAGGAGTCTCTCCAGTCCCCCCCCACAACACACATTCAAACCTGCCAGATGGACCTCTTAGGAGGCCCCCTCCCATTTCAAGCTCTTATCATTTTTCTTTACTCCCAGCTTGTTCTCTTCTGGATCTTCTTCCTCACAGGTGCCAGGGATCTTTCCAAATGCAAATGTAACATGTCACCCCCCACCCCCTGTGGTGTCCCAGATAAACCAACTCCTCAGCATGAAGCCCACCATGAACAATGCTGCTTAAAATAACCATGGCGGGTGGTGGGGCAGAGAATCCCCTGTAAGGATATAACCTTACAAGTTTATAGGCATATAACCTATAAGTCCCTAAGCACTGTGTGATTCTAGGAAGCTATAACAGAAAAGACTCCTGGATAAACGTGAGAGCGAGGGCAGACACATCCCCAGCACTCATGATTCCACCATGCCAGGTTATCAAGGTACCCACTTTATATCCTTAATGACCTTGACTTCTTTTATCCCATAAGTGAGTTCTCCTCAAGCTCAACATGAAACAAGCCCGAGTTCTTCATAAAGGAAGCCTTTAGATGACCAAGAATATAATTATATTAATATGTCATTTCAGATAGTGAAATAATCTGAGTCACCTTCACATCTGTTTTAAACCCATAAATAACTCCTGGTTGGAGATGAACAACAAACAAGAAAGAAAGCCACGTCAATTATTTGAAAATCAAGCACTCTATTCTTGGCAAGTCAAATCTACTTAAAAAAATTTCTAAAAATAATTTTGCTTAAATCATTTAGAGTGATTCAGGCTAGAAGCAAGGCATTCACATCTTTTTTTCATACTGTCGTGAATGTTATTTCTATAACCTTATACGGTAGTCCCCCTTGTCCACGGTTTCAGTTACCTGCAGTCAACTGTAGGGAGGAAGCATGTGATCCTCCTTCTGACTTATCACTAGAAGGTCAACGGTAGCCTAATGCTACGTTACAATGCCTATGTCATTCAGCTCACTTCATCTCATCACGCAGGAATTTTATCATCTCACATCGTCACAAGAAAAAGAAAGGTGAGCATAACACAATAAGATATTTTGACAAAGAGAGACCACATTCACATAACTTTTATTATAGTATATTATAATTGTTCTATTTTATTATTAGTTATTGTTGTTAATCTCTTAGTGTGCCTAATTTATATATTAAACTTTATCATAAGTATGTATATATAGGGTTCAGTACTATCTGCAGTTTCAGGCATCCACTGGGGGTCTTGCAACGTATTCCCCATGGATAAGAGGGGACTACTAAATAATGTAGATCTCTGAGAATCGTGTTGCCAAAACAAAAGTACGTCCTAGTGCAGGCACTCTGTGAACACCGGCACTGCTGAACTTGGTGCTCTGGCGTGGAGGGCCCCAGCCACACTGCACACTCCCTCATCATTCTCACCCCTCCTGCCCACGGTTTCTCCCTGTGGGCAGCTCCGTGGAAAGGCTCAGTGAAACAGCCCATTCACTCTGTGGGCAGGAATGGAACACCTGACCTCATCCTTGTTATTCCTGTCCCTCACAGTGCATGGAATTTAAATGCCAACCTCATAGCAGCAGCCACTAACTCCTCAGTCATAAAAAAGGATTAAAAAACATCTTTACTGTGATTATACAAGCTGCCAAAAGTGTATCTTGAAACAGGAAATGGCAGCAGCCTTTATGTTCAATCTACAGAAGTGTATTCTTAAATATATGTAGCAAGTGTTACTTTATGTGTGAAATATGGTATCACACACGTTTGTTTACTCTTAGCCCTGTAACCTTTTTCATACATTACATTTGAGAAGAAAAAAATTTCTGAAAAAAGAGGGTGGAGTCAAGAAAGCACAGCCCAGATTCTAATGGAGCAGAACTAACTACACGCCCAAAAGGGAATCAACATATTGATCCCAGAAATCACAGCACTGTATGCACTGGATCAACCATTTCCTTTTTTCCCTTTTAGGTTTTGAGTCAACGTTTCGGGAAGAAACTCATAGTAAGTACAGTACTGTGACTCAGTCCAAATAAATTATATTCTTAAATGGCAATATTAAAGGGATTTAAATATATACATATTTCAAAATCATAAACTTAACATAACTAAAAGTCAATGTCTACCATCAATTTTTCCCTAAAATTCATCCAAATTATAGCTAATAGTGGTATCACTCTAATTTTAGGAACTATGAACAGATATGTCCAACATTTTGGACAATATCATATAAAGATATACATTTAGCCAATAGGCAGTAGGGACTTAAAAAATTAAATAAAAATTAAAGAGTATTACTGGTATGAACATGTAGAAAGTTTTTGTTTGAAATATAGATTAGTTATTGGACCATTAATATATTTTCAACTAGATAATTCTTCATCAATTCACAGTATAAATACAGAGGAACTTGATGGAGACTACTAATGGATCTGAATAGCACAGAACATTTGCTGAACATGTAGGCATAAATATTTTTCACTTATATTTTATCATGGATAATCAGAACACATTTATTATTTCCAGAGAGCACAGAGCAATGACTAAGTCACATACTACTTCCTCTATGTTACTTCAGGTGGAATCAGACAATAAAAAGGGTAGAAGGCAACCTACTACTGGCCTAAAGTTGTACCGTATGGGTTAAAATAAAGCTAACCAAAAATGTCACGGAAAAAAGGATATACTTTTTCTGACAGTTTTCCAAATATCAAATGTGATGAGCAGAAAATATAATGTTAGTAAAAGCAAATTAAACACAGATGGGATATGTTAAATACACAAGTATGTACACTCAAGTTTAGAGTCACCAGCACTGAATTAGTACAAAGGCAGATTATGTCGTGAACATGTAACTCAACTTGAAAGGCCTTGCCAGCATCTAAGAATAGCTCTCAGTGGCGGCCCACTCTCAGTCCCCAGATGCGGTCAAAAGTGCTGTCCTTTGATCAGTGTCAATACTGTACAAGTAAACAATGTGCATGTGGAGATAATGCCAAGTAAGTGATAGAGTGAGCATTTCATTCAACATTCCTCCAAAAATCTAGCTTCTGACTTAGCCAACTATAGTACCACAGTTCTAATTAATGTCTTGCATGGAGACTATAATTATTCCACCACTGATCATGATTTATCCCATCTTATGAAAACAAATGGGACAAACAGAAGTTATATAATAGAATTATACAGTGTTCCAAAGTTCTTTCATTGTCTGAGATGAAAGTAAAAGTGCCAAGTAACATTTGACTTTGACAAGAAAAAATGTATTTTTTAATCTCTAGGGTAGCCACTAAAAGAATTAAGTGCATATAACTAGCAAGCTAATAGGGAAAAAAATAGTCAAAAAAAGGGCTAGAGAAGAAACGAACATAGGACAGAGAGTAGAAAGCAAAAAGTAATTACCATGAATGTAAATGGGCTATATAGTCAACAATTAAAAGACGAAGATTGGTAGAGGAAGATGGGCATGGATGTTAGCCCAGGGCCAGCCTTCCTCAGCAAAAAAAGAGGAGGATTGGCAGATGTTAGCACAGGGCTGATCTTCCTTACAAAAGAAAAAAAAAAAAAAAGACGAAGATTGTTAGCATTATAAAAGCAACAACATCCAACTATATTCTGCTTACAAGAGACATACCTTAAATACAGTGATACAGAAAGGTTGAGAGCAAAAGGATGGAATAAGACATATGGCAAACACTAACTGAAAGAAAGCTGATGTAGGTATATTAAAACCAAACAACAAAATAGACAAAGTAGTCAAAGAAGGCAAGAAGCATTATTAGAGATAAAGCCATCATTTCATAATGGCAAAATGTTCTATTCATCTGGAAGATAGAAAATTTTTGTATCTGTATGCATCTATTAACATGGTCTCAACATATTTAAGCCAAAATCAAATTATAAAAGAAATACGTAAATCAAAAAAATCCCTGTAAGAGACCTTAATGCACCTCTCTTAGTAAGCTGATAGAACAGGCAGACAAAATAGCAGTACAGATATAGATGACCTGAATAATATGATAAATAAACTTGATCTAGCAGACATATAAAGAGTACTATATAATACATATAAAGAATTCTCTCTCTCTCTATATATATATATACACGCACACACTGTATATATAAAAAATATATATCCAAGAACTTCATTTTTTAAAGCAAACACAGAATATTAAAAGCGGACCAATAGAAAGCCTCATTATATTTCAAAGGACTGAAACCATGCTGAGTATGTTCTTTAACCACAGCACAATTAAGCTAGAACCTTAACAAAAAGGTAACTTAGAAAACCTCCAGGGGGCTGGCCTGGTGGCATAGTAGTTAAGTTTGCACACTTTGCTTTGGCGGCCCAGAGTTTGCAGGTTTGAATGCCAGGCATGGACCTATGCACTGCTCATCAAGCCATGCTGTGGTGGTGTCCCACATACAAAAATAAAGTAAGATGAGCACAGGTGTTAGCTCAGGGCTAATCTTCCTCAGCAAAAAAGAGGAAGATTGGCAACAGATGTTAGCTCAGGGCCAATCTTCCTCACCAAAACAAAAATAAAATAAAATAAAAAGAAAATGTCCACATATTAGAAACAAAGAAACAGACTTCTAAATAACCTATACGTCAAAGAAGAAATCACAATGAAAGTTAAAATTATCTTGAAACGAAATGAAATGATAAAGAAAATACAGCATATAAAAACATGTAAGATGCAACTAAAGCTGTGGTTAGAGGAAATTTATAGCCTTAAAATGCATATATTAGAAAAGAATGTGTGAAAATCAATGCTCT